GTTGGTTGGTTGGTTGGTGGAGAAGGTGTTTTGCCGCAGGGGGTACACCTTAAAATGTGATTTCGTGGTAGGCGCGGGTGTTGGAGATGAAGTGCAGATTTCGTGGTGTGCGGGGGGTTGGGGGGGGCGCAGCGCCCCCCCACAGGTCCACATCACAATTACAACCTTTTTCTCCGACGATTGAAGCTCGTAAGAGAAATGTTGAAGCCAGAACATGAAAGGAAAAAACACTGCGCAGGGTGTACCATAGTATACCATAGTGCACCCAGGAAGCCATATTACAATTTGTTCCCCCCTTCCGCACTGGTTAGGCTCTCCAATATCTGTTGAGGCCAGCACATCCAAGGAAAACGCCACACAGCACACCCTCGAGTATACCCAGCAGGAAATATTACAATTAGACTGCTTTTCCCACTGGCCGTAATCTTCGTGCGCAGCCGCTACATGCCAACACTTCCAAGGAAAAATGCGGCGCAGTGCGCACTTCAGAGCGCCCCAAAGGCAATGTTACAATTAGTCACCCTCCTACATGTACAGCAAATGTGAGGGCTAGTGTGACTTACGAGAAACGCAGGGCAAAGTGTACAAGACTGTACCAAACAGCTGAATTTACAATTGCACAAATGTATTCGATCCCCCATGGACGATCATTAAAACAGGCCGTGCGGAATCTTTGTCATCGGTTTTCATTACAGATTGGACATTGCAAGTTACAATGTTGAGGGTGAGGGCCCATGCTTCCACCTCACCCTCAAAAATGTGACCTACAGTTTTTGAGTGCGTACAGGCTGAACAAACACACATGAGGGTCAATAATGTAACTTACAACTTTGACCCCTGTCTTTTGGATTTTGACACCCAAAAATGTAAGTCTTTAAGTTGCATTTTTGACCCCACCCCGAGGGTTAAGGTAGTAGTGATTTCGGGTTAGTACGTGTTTGCATTTGGGTTCGTGGGTTCCATCTTGTTTTTTGGTTTTGGTTGTTGGATGTAACCACTTTGGATTCTTTTAATCCGTTTTCTTGATGATGCGATACAAATACAATGAAACACATTTTTGCAGTCAGACATGCTTTTCAAGGGGGCCAGTCCACGGGCACCCTGGAGTGCGGGTCGGTCTGCATATCTGTTGATGTCACCGGGCGAATGAACCAAACGAACGAACATGGAAACCTGTGACAGGATGTGTTTTGCAGTTCCTTTTGCGAGCAATCTAAAATGATAACACCTTGTTTGTGTCCTGTGACTGTCCCTTCCAAAGTCACTTTAGCAAGGGGATGTCATTTCCTTTTGGTTCCTTTCGAAAAGGAATTCTCTCGGGGGGATTCTTTCGAAAAGGAGCCTCCCTCAATTGTTGGGTGGGAAGGGACCGTCTTTAGGGGTCGTTCATCACTGGCGCTGCTTGAACCTTCTTTTTATATCTTTTTATACGTATTTATAAATATAGAGAGAGGGACCCCCAAATAGATAGAAAAGTAGATCCCCACTAAGAAATTGGAAACCGTTTCTAATGCTTCGAAAGAAGTGGTTGATCACCTATCAATGCAAGAGCTTGGACCTGTCGTGCGCGATGCGCGGCACGGATCTCAAATTTCAATACAATCTAATTAAATATAGGCAACTTGCCATGGAGCTGGGTTCATGAGTCACAGTCGTTGGTTTGCGCAGGCGTTCGCTTGACCATATACATCCCAATTGTCGCAGCCAGTAGGTGGCTCGCAAAAACTGAGGCATGCATTTTCATCCACTTTATGGCCAGCCTCTTCGGCGTTTACCCAATGCCTTTTGCCGCTGCTACCAGTTGCCTCCCAAGTGCCTTCATTACGTTGTTTGTAGGAAGTTCCTTGACTGTAGACTAGCTCGAGTTGCTTATGGGGTGGCCAACACTTGGTTGTCTCAACATGATGTGACGCCTGGTACCTGGTCTCACCAAAAAGGGGAGCAAAACGCACTCAAAAAGCGCCAAGAAAGCAACTCTTTCCAACCAATGCTGCCGTGGGTTTTGCGAGCCTCTCTGATGCCAAAATGCGCGCGCTGGCCTCTCTCTCGCAGAACGTTCCAAGGCTACTTGATCCCAGAAGATCTCCTAACCTCTGACCTCCGGGCCTTCATCCAGTTTGCATATTTGGAATCTGGGTAGTTTAGAAGATGTTTTTGTATTTGGGAATGGTTCTCCCAATTGACTTTCTTTGGGGGGTGCGCTGAACCACCAACCAGGAATTAATCTTTACGACCTTGCAGTTTGGAGTGCTTACGCTCTGGCTGGAAGTTTTCCCCGCCCTCTCGGTGCCATTGCAGCTGCTTAGCAGTGCCGTCAGGGGCTCAGTTGACATACACTCTGTGAAATAGTCATCAAAGTGGAAAATGGTCCCTTGGGCCTTGGATAACAATAGTCCTCTACAAAGAGGTGGTTTACCCACATGATGGGATCTTGCCCTCTTGCTGGAAGTTTGCTGGGAAGTGGGACGGGCCAGACTCCCAGGACGAGTACGCCAAAACACGTTTTGCAAAAGAAAATCATGGGTTGGGAGTTGGGTTGGGTACAATGTGTTAATGATTTTGTTGCTTTTTTGTTACATTTACATAGACTAGACTAATAAATGTGGATCAGAAATGGCCGTAGCCTGCCGAGGCCGTTACTGCCATGATGGCTGGAACTGGATGGGCGGTCAACAAGATAGGCCCACGATACCTTGGAGTGCCAGAGCAGTCCGGCTGTGAGTGGGAACATAGTTCAGTTTCCTTTGTCGGGGCTATTAGAAAGAAACAGAAACCGGGTTTTGGCCAACAAGTTGCACTTTCACGGGATTGCGAGCCAAGGAAGAATTGCATCCTTACAGGTCCTAGGTTGCCCAAACGGTGATGTTGGTTTGTTCTTTAGAGTGCCTTCACGAATCTCTGAAGCCCCCGGGGCTTGTTCAATACTGCACACGTATATTTCGCAGTTATTTGCTCCTGTTCGATTCAAGAAATGTGGTGGTCTTCCAGTGAGCCCAGCTTCTCAAGCAAACGAATGACTTTTAGACACTGTAGATTTCGATATAAGTCTGAGGTACATCACTGAAGAAGCAAAGATATTGATTCTCTTTGTGGCATTTCTCTTCTCGGCCGCCCTTTTATCCAGCGCAAAGAATGGCGTGGTTCTGTGCGTGATGCTGATCCTTGACGCAGGACCGGGCCTGTCACAGGCTACAGCGAAGTCGACCCTGCTTTGTCCCCAGTTGAGTTGTATGAGGACGCTTGTTCTTGTGTTTGTCGGCCAGTAGACGGCTCCAATTGAAGCATGTCCTCTGTTGACCGGCTCGATATCCCGGTGAGTTTAGCAGCCGATTTGGTTTGCAAAGAGGGAAGCTACCTTTTTTGTTGGATCGGAACGTGGAGTCAAAAAGAGAAACGGTTTGATCGGAACGTTTCCATCAGAACTCATCTTTGCTGGTTACTTAATTCTCCACCACATTTGCAGGAAAAGCTTTGGCAATCGCTTTGAAAACCTGCGGTTGTCTTATTGCTGTTCTCGAAGAGATGACATTGGTGGAGGCAGCAAGCATGCCTTGAAAACACGAAAAGCATTCTGTCGGATAAATTTGGAGTGTAACATATACATGTGGTGTGTATGTATATATGTATATATAGTATTATATAGTTATATATATATATGTGTAATACAAATATGCTTGTTGATGATCCTTGTAGAAGTGTTTGTGTGTGAGTTTGCGTCCTCCACATTTTCCGCTTTTTGAGAGCAAGCAGCCTGAGGCAGGCTCAGCACAGAGTCGGCTGTGCAAGAGGTGGATAAATTTTACAGCCTTGCCACTTCTCGTGTATCAGAAGTGGCGATTGGCATTCCAAGTGCGAAAGCAACTCAACAACCTTGTGATTGACTTGGCGGGAAAGACCCGAGAAAGTCTTCAAGAAAGTGAGATCACCATTATGGAGGCCCGACTCCTCAACGAATTTGCGCGACACGCCAAGGTGTTTGCTCTCGTTGAGCTTTGTGAAGTCGCAGTTCCTTTGATGTACATGATGGTGATGGCTTTGCTTCATACCGAAACTTTCGGGTATAACCGCCAGTACTATGAGATCTTCTCCACCACGGGTCAAGGTTATCAGGATGCGATGATTGGCAATGCGATGAGTTTCCTTATCGAAGCGTTCGTTTTCGTGGCGGCGCAAGTCGCGTTCTTGCAATCCACTGGTTTTGACTTGGCATACTTTGCAGGACCGGACTAGAATTCCAGGGCTCAGGATCAGTCTTGTTCCATATGTAGGTTCCTGAAATGTTCACCCGGAAGTAGGACAAAGACTTCACGAATCTTGGGTCCGAATTAAAGCAGATTTGGGCCGCTTGATTCATGGTGACAAGAAGGCCCCTAGCAGCTTCTTGTTCCCAGTAGCGATGCCAGGAGCCCCTAGTAGTGCCCTTGCTCCCAAGGGTCTGACACAAGCGCCGTGTTCACTTGTTCCTTTGCCGCGATGCTTGGAGGAATTGTCCTGCTGGAGAACTATTCATATTGGGTTTTGGGTCTGGGCGCTGGTTCTGTAGCTTGGCTGACGGTGCTCATTAGTCATGGTGGTCACGACCTTGATTTGATTAGAGCTTTATTCTCGAGACAGTGACCCTGAGAATGGGGGACCCTTCGGGCCAAGGCCTCCAACTAGTAGCAGTTAGAGATTGGATTTCAGAAAGACACGTGGGTGGCACATTCCAGGGTCTCCTTCAATTTTGTTTTGAGACACCCATGTGGCACGATGCAGGGCAGACTTCTGAATTACATAAACTTGTTGTTTTTGCATGTTTTTGGAAGTTGGGAAAGGCGCATGTGTCGCCGTTGGAAAAAAACTCTGCATGGATGCCACGTGGCGAATGCAAGTAAGTACAGTCCAGTAAAACATTGGCTGCGCAGTTGGAGCACCAAAGAAGGAACAACTTTGAGTTCAGGCAACCAATTCTCATGGACCGTAGGTATGATTTGTTGATATTGTTGGACCTCCTTCGGTCACAAGGTCTCCCTTTTGCAAATTCTTGCAAAGCAAGACAATAGCTGGTGTCAGCATTTCGACTCTTCCACATTCCATGCACTGATTGCAGACTGAGTAGGGAAGGTGGCCTTGAGCATGGAAGACTTTGGAGACGAAAGGCGTTTAATCTCAGATTGGGGACGTTAATAGACATCTAAATTACGATATATATATATATATGTATACTATATATTTATATATTTGCGTATATTGATTTTTTTATGCATATGTTAATATTGAATAGATATGAATGATATTGGGTCTTTATTTTTTAGTTAAATATTCGATTAATTTGATATGATATTAAACTATTATGATAGGCAATCGATAGATTAAATCGTTATTTGATTGATAAATATATTGAGTTTATGATTATTTATGATGTTGATTGTAAAACTATATTTTAATATATATATTCGAATATTATGATATAAAAGCGCCACTCCAGCTTAGATGGCCGCGTGTTAGCTCCCGGGGAATTGCAATTTCGTTCCTTCGACCCCGCCGCTTTTACATGAGAACTTTCGTTCGAATTCTCTTGGAATTCCCGATCTTAAGTCCGGGCGGTGTTCCTTACTATAGTGTTTACTTTGGGGATAGGCAGGAGGTACCGGGCGTGAGGGTAGACCTTTTGGCCTTATAAGGGGTCGAGAGCGGCCTGATTTTGCTACGCTTATTTGTAATGGTCGCGAAGCTACATGAGGCTTGGGTTAAGGCGGGCCTCGGTCTAGTGTAGTCCGCATTACGCATTAAAAGATTGAAAAGAGCTTTTTAAAGAGTATGCTTTCGTAGTCTTATTGAAGGTGTTACATTTTATAAAGGTCAGACGATATATCCTAAAGATATTCCTCGGAAATTTAAACAAGCATGGCAACTTAGACAGACATCCGACTCTTTTAATCGTGATAGAACTCGGATGTCTCCCACCCAAGACTCTGCTCCTTGCTGCAGATCCTGTCTTGGAATGCCTCACGCTTACTTCATTACGAAGAATTTCAGACTTGGTGCACTGCTAGTCTATACGACTGCTTCATTATTTAGGAAACGGAATGGGCATTTAGCGGAGAGTGGATTAATTAACACTTCGTAATGCATCAGTGCTCACTATGCTTAGATCAAAGCTCATTTCGAGTCACCACATATCCGTAGCTGTTCATATACCTGGTCGCTGTCTTTAGATTTAACTTCCCATGCATCAAACCTATGACATCCTGGCCATCTACCAGCACAGCTGGAATCCAGGACGGGGGGTTAAGGCACTTTGTACTCGCCGTGCAGCACTTTGGAGGAAAATCATTGAATGTGTTAACCACATCCCGTACACACATTTTTTGGTCATTGCTGGAGACTTCAATTCTCCTTTTCAGCAGCATCCTCCATTCGTCCAGACATTTGACCCGAAATTCGATAAAGCCAGTCAAACGGACAAAGAGGTTTTTCAGCAGATGATTCAAGACTTGCAGCTTCTTGCATTGCCCGCCGGAAATTGGAAGCCAACCTTTGTACATGGAAATCATGCCACTCGGATTGATTTCATTCTGATTCGTCGCCAGCAACGTCGAGCTTCCATGGATTCACATCTCGTTCAGGATTTTGATAGGAACTTTGGTATCATTGGGCCCCATCATTAACCGGTGAGCTTGTGTATCCCTAAATGGCACCCAGCCAGGACCATGAAGAGTGCTCCCGATCCCATTAATAGGTTCCAGCTTCGACAGGCCTCTCTGGCCCAAACACCGCTGTGGCAACAATTTTGCACTGCTGCAGGTGAATTGGTTCGTAATCATACATATAGGAGTTCAGAATTGGATCACATGCCCCTCACGAGTATACCGCTTGAGACTCAACTGCGTGAATTGTGTATTCGATGGTTTCCATGTGTGCCCAGATCCAGACCTGACTCTATTGTCCTCCATTCCATCTCCTCCCGCATGTGGCAGGCACGCCGACTGGCCAAGCAATGCCAGAGTGTGGACCTGAAGACTTTGTTCAATTTTTGGCACCACTTCAGCCAGTATTCCACCACACATCGTGAGATCAAGAAAATGAGTCGTCTGCATAAGCGTCAGAGACTTGAACATTTCCTTCAGGATAGTGTGGATCTTGCCCTCACGAACAGAGCATTTGACTGGCACAGAAGAATCAGACAATTGAGCCCCAAACACCCGTTTCGTAGGATTCAACTCTATGATGACAAGGGTCATCCACTCTCACCAGGCCTGGAACTCACGAAAATTGTTGATTACTTCGGAGTTTTGATTCGGGACTCAGACCTGATTCTGCCACCTCGACCCGCGCTGCAGGCACTGCCATTCACTGAGACTGAGTTGCTTGAGGGATTTTGTAAACTACCGGCTACCAAAGCCCCGGCACCCAATGGAGTCCCTGCCATTGTTTGGAGGGCCATTGCCCATGATGTGACTCCCATCCTATACAGGTCTCTTCATGATCATTGTTGCAGGCAGATCCATTGCCACCTGAACACTGGTCCGCCAGGTGGCTTCATCTTCTAGCTAAACCAGGCAAGGCTTGTAATAAACCTGAAGCCCTTCGACCAATCTGTCTTCAACACCCTGTGAATAAGGCGGGTCATGGATTCAGAGTTTCCACAACTTCGACGATTGCCATTATATGCCTACTTGACTGGACGCAGTACGACCGATTGCCTGCTCCTGACTTCAGCTCACTGTCGAGCTGTTCGTGAGGCATGCCAGCAGACCAGACAAAATCTGGATCGTCGCAAACTGATAGGTGGTTTGCAGGTTTCATTGGACATGGAAAAGGCATTTGACACAATCAGCCGCAATATTGTTCATAGAGCACTAGCCATTTTTTTTGCCCCATGATGTCCTCACCATGATTCATGCCTGGCTTGCACCCAATCAGTACTATATTCCTTTTTTAAGGACCTGGTTGGCCATTTAACAGCCACCCGAGGCATATAACAGGGGGCATATAACAGGGCTCAAAAGCGGCCCCCTTGTTGTGGTCCTTGTATATGCATTTGCTGATGGTCGACTTATTGGCACGATACTCCCACACATGGCTCCATGAACATTTGATTGTCTTTGCGGACGATGTTCACCTCCGCTGGTACATTCGAAGTCATGAGGATGGACTTTAGGCCTTGATTGACCTGTCTTTTGTTTTGACATTAATGAAATCCTATGGCCTTCATATTAATGTTCAAAAGAGCGTGGCGCTATGCCGTATCATTGGTCGATCCGTACCAGCATTTTTGCGCAAATGGGCTGTGCGCTCCAAAGAGGGGCTACGATTGATCATTCCTGACCTGGATTGGAAACTTCCGCTCGTCTCCAAAACAGCGTACTTGGGTGTCGTGATCAGTTATCGAGCCTGGGAGATGGACACCACCAAACGCCGGATTTCAGCAGCTCAGCATTACTTTCATGTCTTAAGACGATGGCTCACAGACACCACAATCATTCCTAAGCCATTGAAATTTCGCTTGTACAAACAATGCATTCTACCAACACCGCAATATGGCATTTTTGAAATGGGTGTCACACAGCAAGGCTTTAAACAACTGGTCAGTATCATCAATGTCCACCTTCGTCGCATGATCAGAGAGCCAGTGCACCTCACCCACGAGTCAACACATGACTGCTTCCATCGACATGGACTTGACCCACCATGGGTTACTTTGCAAAACACATTTGCTCGTCTTGCCACGGCATTGCATTCACGTCGCGCCACCTTGAGCGGGAATATGGCCAACCAGAGCCATGACATCTGTGCTTTGACCCCAGATTATCCAGATCAAGAACTCATTCCCCCCACAGACCCGCCACTGCAGGTCACACCAGACAGCACGTTGAAGTGCCCTGAGTGCCTTCGTTGCTTTCAACAGGCGGGTTCCTTGAAACGGCACTTAAGACAACAACATGGATATGCCTGTTTGATGGAAGATGTATTTAACTGTTTACGAATGCTCATGATGGAACCAGTACATGTTCTCATTGTTTTCAGCAATTTGCCAGCATGCGTACATTACGTGAACACTTCAATTCCTTCTCCTGTTCTTGTTTTCGTGCAACCAAGGGCACCGTGATTCCGATTGCAGCGAGACCAGAGCTCAGAATGCACCTACGACATCAGTCGTACCAGGGCCTCATTCTTGATCAGAGTCTAATTGCTGAGTTGGCAAGTAGATGTGCATACTGCAACCAACAGATTGGCCCCAGAGCCATTGCCAAACACTATAGTGACCAACACCCAGACTTGATGCAGTACTCCACGGTGCACAAAGACCGTGTTCGATGGGCGGCCAACTTCGGATCCGGGAAAAGTACATGTCCATTGCGCCGCACTCAAACTCAGAAGCTTGAATCTTATGCTTGTGGAGTGCTCTTTCAACTGACCATCATGGCCGGACAAACGATGCAGCCCGAGCACTATCCGATCACGCCTGTGAATAAATGTCCTTGGACAACGGCCTCGGAATACACCAATGTCAACCATCCTGACCTGTCCGCCCGACAAAGCCACCTCAGCCGTTCAACTCTGATGTACAGGTGCCACAAGCTGAGGTCAGCAAGGATCGAAAGCCAGCATATTTGCACAAATGTCCAGTCTGTCATGTCACCTTTTTGACAAATCAGGGCCTCCAGCATC